TTTTTCAAGATGGAGTTTCATTCTTGTTGCCCAAGCTGGAGTGCAATGGTGCAATCTTGGCTCACCGCAACATCTGCCTACCTGGGTTCAAGCGATTGTCCTGCCTCAGCCTCCCCAGTAGCTGGGATTACAGATATGCACCATCACGCCCGGCTAATTTTGTATTTTTAGTAGAGACAAGGTTCTCTATGTTGGTCAGGCTGGTCTCGAACTCCCAACCTCAGGTGATCCACCCATCCCAGCCTCCCAAAGTGTTGGGATTACAGGTGTGAGCCACTGTGCCTGGTCTCCCATGCTGGTCTTGAACTCCTGGGCTCAAGCCGTCCTCCCACTTCAGCCTCCCAAAGTGCTGGGATTACAGATGAGTGCCACTATGCCCAGCCAAGTCTTTTTTCTTGTATGCTAAAAGGGTCTTTAGTTTTCCTAGGACATCATTATGTAGTCTTTCAGACTTTTGATTCAAATTTTCTTTTGTTTCTGGAAGTTTAATTGAATTATATCCTTGAATTTTTTTTATTTGATTTTTTAAATTCTCTTCTTTACAAATATCTATCATGTATATGTTTTATGTCCTTTAGCTTTTTTATAAAGCTATTTTCTCCTTAATCCTTTTTAGTTATTAATTTTTAGTTATTTTGTTTGCTTGCTCAGTCCTGTTCTGTGCCTCATAACAGTATTTTCACTGTTGGCTAATCTTTGTGCTGCCTTCAGTAGAACTGCCATTCGTGGTTTTTTTTTTTTTTTTTTTCTTTTTTTTTTTTTTTTTTTTTGAGACAGAGCCTCCCTATATTGCTCAAGCTGGAGTGCAGTGGTGTGCACTCAGCTCACTGCACCCTCCACCTCCCAGGTTCAAGCAATTCTCATGCTTCACCCTCCCAAGTAGCTGGGATTACAAGCGTGCACCACCATGCCCAGCTAATTCTTGTATTTTTAGTAGAGACAAGGCTTCATTATGTTGGCCAGGCTGACCTCAAACTTCTGGCTTCAAGTGATTTTCCCTTCTCAGCCTCCCAAAGTGCTGGGATTATAGGTGTGAGCCAGTACACCCAGTCCATTTCTTTGATATTTTCACTTTTCTCTTCCACTTCAGTTTTGACCTCTGTCAACTCATGTTTCAGCATCTTCTGTCGCTCTGCCATGTTTTTCCGTATCTCCATTATGCACAGTCTGATCATTCTGCTTCATTTTCTTTGAATGTATTATATTCATAAATTTTATGTGATCAACATCTGTCACATATTTATCTTATTCCTTTTCTTACTTATTTGTATATTTTCAGACCTTGTACTACTTGTAAAATTATTATTATTATTATTATTATTCCTACTCCTCAACTGTGAATAAAACGAACTCTTCCTAGACCAGATAGTTGCAGGATAGTTGTGGCTAGGGCCTTGTTTCTGGCTAAAGGGAATTTTCTGTGCTTAATGTAGAAGTACCTTATGACCCAGAGAGGGTGTGTGTGTGTGTGTGCGCGTGTGTGTGTATGTGTGTTGTGCGTGTGTGTGTTGAGAATGCATGTTTTGCTTTTCTTTCTCCTTAGCTTACAGAATTGGGCAATTGCAATCTCTCTTCTCCCAGGAACTCACGCATGTACATAGGTCAGTCAAAGATGTTTCTGTGTGATTCTTTATTGACATACCTTAGAGTTCCTCCAATTAATTGGAGAACTTTACGCCCCTATGACTGTCGAGGCCTGCTCTTCGTAGACATCTTCTCTGCCTTGCCACAGCCCCGTTGGATCCAGTTGCATATGGCAGCCGTTGATGATATTTTACCATTCAGGCTCTCCTGATTTCACAAAGATTTAGCTTACTTTTTATTAATCAATATCTTTGATGTTCAGAGTGATTTCTGAAAGGAAAAGGAGAGAGAAAATTCATTACTCCATTATCTTAAAAGCAGAAGTCCTTTCTAAGTCTCCATAACTCTTTAACTCTGACAATATACATGCCATTCATGGAAACCAAATTAGACCGGCTATACAAATAATGAACTTGAGGCCTTGAGAGTTAGTGTGATTGAATTAGGGCCAGAGACATCAGTAAGAATGAACTGACAGGGTCTTGAGCCAGCATTCAGCACATCAGATGGTGTCTCAGGAATGCAATGCCAATCAAAGCCCAGTTGCTCTCCTTTGTCCTGGCTGGGGAGCTTGTATTGCTCTGTTGATTTCAATAAAATCTGGTTCTATTATGGTGGCCTCGTTGATGAGCTAGAGTTTAAATACCGAACTTCGTTTCAACCTACGTTAGAGGAACTATAATGGAGCAAACTCAAGAAAAGAAGGAAAAGGGAGACAAGGTGTCCTATACTCACTGGCCTGATACTCTTTTTGCCCCAAACGTGAACGCTTATGGCACTGTCTCCCTTAGGCTTCACAGTCCTTCTGATCTGCTGTTATCCCTTTCTGACACATGAAAACACTGAAATAAAAGAAGCTGAGTAACTTGTTTTTGTTTTTGAGACAGAGTCTCATTCTGTCACCCAGGCTGGAGTGCAGTGGCGTGATCTTGGCTCACTGCAGTCTCTGCCTCCCAGGTTCAAGTGATTCTCCTGCCTCAGGCTCCTGAGTAGCTGGGACTACAGATGTGCACCACCATGGCTGGCTAATTTTTGTATTTTTAGTAGAGATGGGGCTTCATCGTGTTGGCCAGGCGTGTCTCGAACTCCTGACCTCAAGTGATCTACCCGCCTTGGCCTTCCAAAGTGCTGGGACTACAGGCGTGAGCCACCACGCCCAGCCTGAGTAATTTTTCAAAGCCACCAGTTCATAAGTGTTCATACTCTGACTTCCATGATCTTTCATTTCTACCTTTCTGCCTCCCAGGATACCATATTCCCCCAGCTGAAGTTGTCTCAGCCAGTTTTGGGGTTCTGTAAAGATAAAAGGTACACCAGAGGGACTCCTTGATGCTTTGCCTTCATCCTTCAAGCTGGGCAATACTGCCATGTTCTGAGTACTTAGGGGATACTTCTCTGAGCAGCATTCATCATGATACCCAACACTGATGCAGCGGGTTTTCAACCTGTAGTTTGTAGCCATTAATCAGTTCCTGTGATGTCAGCTATTATCTCATGTTACAGATGAGGCAGCTGGTAGAGAGAGTAGTTAGGTAATTTTTCTGTGATCAGCAATGAATCCCACGAGAGAGCTGAGACTGGACCGGTCCATCCCAGGCATAGCGTACAACAAGAGGGCTTTGCCAAAAGTTGTTCAGTAATCTCAACTCCCCTCATCACCTGCACTGTAATAAAAACTAAAACAAAAACAAAAAAGGATATTTTATCTCACCTGTGTGGTTATCTATAGTGTGTTATAAAACTTGGCAGCAGAAAAGAAAACGAAAGGTCAAATCAAAGATTATATGCACAAGAAGTATGTTTTTAACTAAGTTGTTCAAACCATGAAGCTAAGACCATTTGGGTTTAAAATGGCGAATAACATTTTCTTTATAAAAAAATTAAATCAAGAGGGTTACACAGAAGGAGCCAGCCTATTTGGGGAAGGCTGTCAAGCAGTAGAAGGTGATGTGAATGTCTGTTTGTTCTTTTGGCTGGTTTTGGTTTCACTAAGGAATAACTTTTTCGGAGTACATTAATCTATAACCACACAAAATATGGCTAACTTAAAAAAGTGGGAGAGGGAGATAGGAAATTATCCCCCAAAAAGTCTTATTTTCGAACACTTACAGTATAATGGAAATAGCCTCAGATTTCATCTGGTGGCATCCCAGCATTATTGGACAATTTATATTCTCCTTAAGTGACATTTTAATGTATAGTGTTTTATATGTAATGATGTTTCTGGAGTAACGAGTATGCAAGCCGTTAAAGAGAAAGAAAGTACACTTAATATATAGGCAGGTGTCTCAGCACTTTCTTTTTTGTATGTGAAACCCATTATCTTCAGTGATAACTTTGTTGATAGCACCCACAAATATATTCGGAGCAAGGTTTTATAAAATAGATCCAGAATCGTATGACTAAAAGACCCAGCTGACACGTGTCAGCCTCAGATAGTTGCTACATTTTCTGTTTTAAAGACTCAAACAAAACTTTTCACATTCTTCTTTGGGGGAAAAAAAATTACATTTGAAGTCCTTTTTTACCCAAACACATTTTGAGATAAGAGCTCACAAGTCTTGACATTATTTCATTTTGTTATGCGCATCTGTCAAGAAACCAAGATACGATACAGCTACTAAAAACTGATGATTGTGGAACAGAGGAACTTGACAGCATTTCATTTCCTTTATGTTCTGATTATACATTTATCAGAAAACCTGTATCTCTTCTAGTTCAGCTAGAAATTGGTAGAATTCAGGAACTCAAAGGCTTGGCAAAGAACTATCCTATTATTTGGTATCATCTTACATTTTAGAGAAGTTGCTTGGCTGAGTCATTGTTAAAGCTTTTGCTTCTCTTTTCATTATTGTGGACCACTCTCCACAGACCCCATTTCTATGGGCTCTATAACTGCTTTGCCGCACAAATTAAACGCCGGGATGTTTCATACATATACGCCAGTATTTCAATGCTTGTCAATCAGAGTTTATAAAATACAGGGATTACAACTTGATATTAACATCCAAATCTATTGTGCTCATTTTATGTGTGAAAATGAGAAACCCTCATGCAGACGCTAGATTTCCCAGCCTCTTTGTCACCCTGTTTTTAATTTATCTCTAGGTTTTGAGTCAGTAAAACGATTCTGCTTGTCTATTTACTACAGAGATAAAGCATATCTATGAATCAGAGTGATCAGAACTCAAATGCATCTACAGGTTGTTTGGCATTCAGCCCAGCCCTGCTGAGGGTTTTAATGGGGTTAATTCCTCTGTACAGTATATTCATGCCTGGTCTTAAATTGTGCCTCAGTGAGGGATATGATTTGCTTCTCATGAAGAAGTGGACACAGAAGTGCATTGTTTTAGGGAAGAGGACTTTAAAATTTTGAAACGTTCTTTTTATGCTTGCTTTTTTTTTTTTTTTTTCAGGTATACTTCAAAAGAAATTATTCACATATCAGTCACACCGACCATGTGGTCACAAACACTTCCAGTGGACAGCCCGCGGCCTTAGCTATTTTTGAGACTGTACTATGAATCCAACCAAGAAGTCAGGTGTGTTCCAAAAGCGTTTTCCGCTAGTTTTTGGACTATGTAAACTACATTGTACTTTTTTTTACTTTAGCAACAAATATTTATACATACAAGATGTTGATTTGAATTTTTCTCCTGACTTATCTGGTGATCTCCAGCTCTAACAAAATGTTTTATTTTTATTTAAATGTCAACCGTTGTTCTTTAAAATCCAAATCAGAGGTGTAGGCCACCAGTTAAATGCTGTCTATCAGGTTTTGTGCCTTAAGAGACTACAGAGTCAAAGCTCATTTTTAAAGGAGTAGGACATAGTTGTCACAGGTTTTTGTTGTTGTTGTTGTTTTTACTGCCCCCAAAATTACATGTTAATTTCCAGTTATATCAGGGATTCTATTTACTTGAAGACTGTGAAGTTGCCATTTTGTCTCATTGTTTTCTTTAGACATAACTAGGATTCATTATTTCCCCTGAAGGCTTCTTGTTAGAAAATAGTACAGTTAAAACCAATAGGAACAACCAAAAACAAGTTTGCAACATTGTAGTAGGGAGAATGTACCCCCTACTCCCCTCAAAAGAAAAAAATGGATATATGGTTAAAGGATAGAAGGACAATATTTTATCATATGCTCTGAAAGAGAAGGAAGAGAAAATACTACTTTCTCAAAATCGAAGTCCTTAAAGGTGCTTTGATACTGAAGGACACAAGTGTGACCATTAGAGTTGCATGACTTGGACATGGGAACTTGCAGATTTAGACTCAGCAACGTGACATGTCCTAAGAAGGCCAGACCTCTAGCTGACATTCCTGAAATACATGGCATTATTCTTTTTTGGATTTCTCATTTATGGAAGGCTAACCCTCTGTTGACTGTAAGCCTTTTGGGTTAGGCTTTATTGAAATCCTTCCTAAATTGCATGAACAGGCTTTGCTAACGTGATGAGACAAACTGAGAATTGTTGCAAGCATTGACTCTTAATCTGCAGTGCATTCTCAGGATGCATCCAATGGTTCACTTTCCTGAGCCTGTTCAGGTTAGTTTACTTCCGATCACCAATAGCATTGTCATTTGCCCTTTCTGTTGAATGAATCAGCAAACCACAATACTTCCTGGGACCTGTTGTACTTTATTTGAACTATGAGCCTTTAATTTTTCTGGATGGTGATGACTGTGAGCTGAGTTCAGTTTACTAAAGGTTTTGCTATTATGGTTTGAAGTGAATTCTCATGACCTCTCAGTATAAGGCGTTACCTCCCTGAAATTGCATATGTGCATAGACATGCACACATGTGCATTTATGTGTATACATATATGTGCCCTTCATAGAGCAAATTTTTTGATTCATCAGCAGAGAGAAACAGATGTTTTATTGAGGGAAGCCTTAAAAAGCACACACAGAGCTAACTACCAAAATACATTGACTGTAGTGACTGTTCAACTTCTAGTACTTAGAAATGTGTGGTTAATGGTCTGTCCAATAAGCCACACACAGTAAATGTTTATTAATAGTCATGATTCGTATTTTAGGTGACCAAAATGACAGCAGTGATCATACTGAGGTTTGTTAAAACGTTAGCTATATTTGAAATGTCTGTATGTTTATTTGGTCTTTTGAGGCTAAAGACAGTCATATAAATGACCTGTTTTTGTTTTAATGTTATCATAGGATTTTTTAATGAAACCAAATTCAGTTGAAATAAATGATAGTTTTCATCTCCATTCAGAGATCTGTATTTCTGTGCGTTGAGGGATTCCTGACTCATGTTCTTGCTGATGAAAGCCAGTAAGTTCTCCTGAGATTGAAAAATATGTGATCAAAGGATACCTTCTATCATGAACCGGTTCTCTTGGTGAATTAGGTGTACCAAATATTCTAAGAGGGAGATTTCTGTGGGTTTCAGACAGGTTGAAGCAGTTGCTATTTTAAGCAAGTCCATTTGTACCCTTCCAGGAAGAAAGAGTATTAGCTTATGTCTCAGACTTGAGCAGTATTAAATGGTTGCGGTTTTTGTTTTTTAAGGTGATTTTGTCCACAACTAACAAGAAACATCTATTGCTGTTACACTTAAATCACTATTAAATAATGATTCTCAAAGTGTGGTCCCTGGACCAGCAGCTTAGTGCATCACCTGGGAACTCATTAGAAATGCACGCTTTTGTGCCTCACCCCAGATCTTCTGAATCGAGACTCTGGTGGTGGGGACCAGTAATGTGCGTTTTAACAAGCCCTACGGGTGATTTTTTTTTTTAAGCGCCATGCTAATCTTCTCTGTATCATTCCAATTATTTTACTTTATGTGCTGCCGAAGCGAGCACCTTAAGGGTGATGCAGGCTGAAGTCTGAGAATGAGCACCATAAACTATGAAGAACTCTTAAAACTCATTAAGAAAAACAGAAAGCCCAATTAGAGAAATGGACAAGAGATTTGAATGGGTATTTCACAAAAGAGAATATCCAAATGGCCAATAACTGGAAAAGTGCTCACTCTTTATTAGTTACCAGGGAAATGCAAATTAAAACCACTCTGAGATACCCACTGGGATCTACCACACTAGACACCCACTGGGATGTCTAAAATGTAAAAGACTGGGAGCCAAGTACCAATGAAGCAACAGGAATCCTCATGTACTGCTGTGTAAGTATATTGAAAAACCGTCTTTGGGGCCTGGCGCAGTGGCTCAAGCCTGTAATCCCAGCACTGTGGGAGGCCGACGCAGGTGGATCACGAGGTCAAGAGATCGAGACCATCCTGGTCAACATGGTGAAACCCCGTCTCTACTAAAAATACAAAAAAATTAGCTGGGCATAGTGGCGCGTGCCTATAATCCCAGCGACTCAGGAGGCTGGGGCAGGAGAATTGCCTGAACCCAGGAGGCGGAGGTTGCGGTGAGCCGAGATCTCACCATTGCACTCCAGCCTGGGTAACAAGAGCGAAACTCCGTCTCAAAAAAAAAAAAAAAAAAAAAAAGAAAAAACGTCTTTGGAAAACAGCTTGACAGCATTCTGCACACCCTGTGATCCATTTGTGCCACTCTAAATATGTACATACGTGCACCAAGACATGTTGTCAAGGATGTTCCTAGAAACATAATTCCTAACAGCCCAAACTGGAGCTAATGCAAATACTCATCAACAGCAGAAGGAAAACAAATCATGAGGTGTTAAAATACTCTACAGCAATGAAAGCAATTGAACTACATGAAGAACTCATGAGTTTCACAGACATAATATGTATTCCAAAGAAGCCTGACCCAAAAGAATATTTATGATCCCATTTATATAAAATGCAAAAATGTTACAACTGAACAAAGGAGTGCAACATCAGAACAGTTCATAACTTTGGGGAGATGTAAGGTGTTGGTAACTGGGGGAAATACAAGAAATACACATGAATCTTCTAGGATACTTAAAATGTTCTTGTTTGTTTGGCTGGGTGGTGATTAGATTGTTATTCATTGAACACTTTGATGTGTCATACTTCACAATTGAGTTAACTTTTAAAAAAGTTATTCTTGGCCTTGTGTTTCCTTTAGAATCTCAGATTCAGTGTCTCAGCCTTCTAAAAGGGAATAATTTACATTTGAGAAATTACTTCTGCTGAGTTCTTAAAATAAGAGCCTCTGTGAGCATTGTCTTTTGTGGCCCATCGCAGCTGATGCATTTGATGGTTCTGGTACCTGAGAAGCCAAAGTCTCTATTTCCTGTAACCAATTAATAAACCTCAACTTCCTCTTCAATTTTAGGATAAGTACAAAAATAAGGAACTCTGAGGTTTTTCTGGATTCTATTTTTTAACCACTTTATTGAGGTATGACTGGTATACAGAAAGTTATGCATATTTCATGTATATGCCTTGTGCTTGGAGATAAGTATCATGTATGAAACCATCACCACGTTCTATGTCATAAACATATCCATCACCTCAAAGTTTCCACCTGCTCATTTTCTATTTTTTAATCTCCATTAGAGGGGATGAGGTACATAAATAAAATAACTTCAGGGAATTGGTCTCGGCAAAGATGTATGGCTAAGACTTCAAGGACAGGCAACTTAAACATAAATAGACAAATGGGACTCTCTTAAACTAAAAAGCTTCTGCACAGCAAAGAAAGCAATCAACAGAGTGAAGAGACAGCCTGTTGAACGGGAGAAAATATTTGCAAAGTATTCATCCAGCAAGGGACTAATATCTAGAATATATAAGGAACTGCAACAACTCAATAGTAAAAACCCACATAATTCCATTAAAAAGTGGGGAAGTGGCACGAAGACATTTCTCAAAAGAAGACATACAAATGTCCAACAAATAAATTAAAAATGCTCAACATCACTAATCACCCAGGAAATGCAAATCAAAGCCACAATGAGATATCACCTTTCCCCAGTTAGAATGGCCATTACTAGAATGAGATAATAACAGATCCTAGTGACGATGCAGAAAAGAGGGAACTTTGATATACTGTTAGTGGGAATGTAACTTAATAGAATCCTATGGAAAACAGTTTGGAGATTTTTTTTTTTTTTGAGACAGTTTCTGTCTCCCAGGCTGTAGTGCAGTGGCATGATCTTGGCTCACTACAACCTCCATCTCCCAGGTTCAAGTGATTCTCCTGCCTCAGCTCCCGAGTAGCTGGGATTATAGGTGTCCAGCTAATTTTTGTATTTTTAGTAGAGACGGTGTTTCACCATGTTGACCAAGCTGATCTCGAACTCCTGACCTCAGGTGATTTGCCTGCCTTAACCTCCCAAAGTGCTGGGATTACAGGCGTGAGCCACCATGCCTGGCCTAATATAGAGATTTCTTAAAAAAAAAACAAAACAAAACAAAACAAAAAACTAAAAACAGATGTACCATACAGCCAGATGTGGTGGCTCACGCCTGTAATCTGAGCATTTTGGGAGGCCGAGGCAGGAGGATCACCCGAGGTCAGGAGTTCAAGACCAGCCTGGCCAATATGGTAAAACCCCATCCTACTAAAAATACAAAAATTAACCAGACATGGTGGCACGTGCCTGTAATCCCAGCTACTTGGGAGGCTGAGGCAAGAAAACCACTTGAACCCAGGAGACAGGCTGCAGTGAGCCGAGATCATGCCACTGCACTCCAGCATGGGTAACAGAGTGAGACTCCATGTCAAAAGTTAAAAAAAAAAAAATTTGATGTATCATACAAACCAGCAATCCCACTAACTATATTTATCCAAAGGAAATCAGTATATCAAAGGGATGCCTGCACTCTTGTGTTTATCATAGCACTATTCACAATAGCAGAAATATGGCATCAGCCTAAGTGTCCATCAACAGATGAAAGAATTTTTTGCTGGGGGCAGCGGCTCACACCTGTAATCCCAGCACTTTGTGAGGCCAAGGCAGGCAGATAACCTGAGGTTGGGAATTTGAGACCAGCCTGACCAGCAAAGAGAAACCCGTCTGTACTAAAAATACAAAATTAGCCAGGTCTAACCATAATCTCAGCTACTAGGGAAGGTGAGGCAGGGGAATCGCTTGAATCTGGGAGGTGGAGGTTGCAGTGAACGAATATCGCATCATGGCACTCCAGCCTGGGCAACAAGAGTGAAACTCTGCCGAAAGGAAAAGAGAGAGAGAATAAAGGAGGGAAGGGAGGGAGGGAGAGAAAGGAAGGGAGGGAGGGAAGGAAGGAAGGAAAGGAAAGAAAAAGAAAAAAAGGAAAGAAGGAGGGAAGGAAGGAGGGATAAAAAAGAGAGAAAGAAAGGAAAGACAATTTTTTTACATGGTATGTATATATGTATCATGCAATGCTATTCAGCCATTAAAAAAAAAAAAAAAGAATGGAACCATGTCATTTGCAGCAATATGGATGGAACTGGAGGCCATTCTGTTAAGTGAAATAAAGCAGGAACAGAAAGATGAATACCACGTGTTCTCTCATACCAGAGCTAAAATATTTGATCTCATGGAAATAGAGAATACAGTGATAGATACCAGAGGCTGGGAAGGGTGTGTGGGTGAGAGAGGGAGGCTGGTTAATGGGTATGAACAGAGGTAGAAGAAAGAAGTTATAATGTTTAATAGCAGCCTAGGGTGACGATAGTTAACAACAATATATTCTACATTTCAAAGTAGCTGGAAGAGAGGACTTGAAATGTTATCGGCACATAGAAATGATAAATACTGAAGGTGGTAGATACCTTCAAATACCCTGGCTTGATCATTACACATTCTATGCATGTAGCAAATACATGTATCCCATAAATATGTAATTTAAAAAATATATACCATGGGCTTGGCATGGTGGCTAACACCTGTAATCCCAGCACTTTGGGAGGCGGAGGTGGGTAGATTACGAGGTCAAGAGTTCAAGACTAGCCTGGTCAACATGGTGAAACCCCATCTCTACTAAAAATACAAAAAATTAGCCGAGTGTAGTGGTGTGCTCCTATAATCCCAGCTACTCTGGGGCTGAGGCAGGAGAATTGCTTGAACCTGGGAGGCGGAGGCTGCAGTGAACCGAGATCACGCCATTGCACTCCAGCCTGGGCAACAGAGCGACTCCGTCTCAAAAAAAAAAAATACATATATATATATATATATATATATATGTTATATATATAATATATATACACAGACACAGAAGAAATAATGCTAAATGCTTTTAGTAACACTATAAGTGGTTGGTGTCTTTTGAAGAAACAACTTTAATCAATTCAATGAGTCAGTGAATTAGATTTATTATTTAGTATTG